GGATCCTGTTTGACAAGAATAAGGTAAGCAGACACCTTTTTAAATGTAAAGTCTGTATAATGTATAATTGGATACTAGCTAAATTTTGGTCTGTTTTGAGGTCTACCAAGTGTCATATATCTATAGATCAGATTAGATTAAAAACAGGTTCGCTACCTGATGGGGTAGAGGCCCCTTGAGAAGAGAAAAAGAGTAATTACAGGGTAGAGGCCCTTTTTAGAGTAATTACCGGGGTAGAGGCCCCTTGCTAGCCAAAGAAAAGTGTTGGATCCAAAAGTGAAACCATGGTGTAAACATAAAAGCAATAAAAAGGGAAACGTGTTAAGGAGGCCTTTGTTACAAAAGCTTTGAAATTGACAAATTTCAGGCTGATAAATGACAAAAGTAAAGAAGCAACAATATTTCAGTGATCACGGTTTAAATTACATACAGAAAAAGGGAGTTTTTGTTTATTAGTTCGTTTTTTGGCATGAACAGAGTTCACCGAAGAATGCAGAGTTTTATCTAAAGTTGAGCTATGAGAGCTTTCGTGAGTTATTTACATTTTTTGCCGAGTTTTATCTACAGATAAGCTATGAGAGGGTTGTATCCAACAGTTGTTTTTGTTTTTTAGAAAGAGATTTTGAGTTTAAATTAGTTTGCTACCTTGATAAAATAGAAGCGTAAATGTTAAAGACAAGAGTGCCTTTTGTTATTAGTGTGGAAAGTGATCACTTCTAGACTTGGATGACAAAAGTATAAAGAACAACATCAGTTATATTTGCTTAAAAAAGTAATCTTGAAAGTTCTTCTTCTTTCTGTTTTTGCATTTTTGCTAAAACACTACTTTCTGCCTGTGTGTGTGCGCGTCTGTGTGACAGGAACCCCCCTTACTCATGATAAATTAATTAACATCGAAATATCAACAAAACCAACAATTGGTTTGTTACTACACCAAAGCAACTGCAGCTCAGAGACTGGCAAATGGAGGTGTATGAAGAATGGCCATAAAAGTGGTCCATGAGCACAAATGGTGTATTCACTTGCACTGCTCTCATGTTGCATGGGATGAATGGCTTAGAATGTGTCTCAAAGGAAGATGCTGAGCTCAGAGAAACAGACTGCCAATGCAATGACGGCTAGTGAGTGCGGCAATGCACTACTGTTTACAAGGATCGGGCAACAACATATCTTGTACTGTAGTCCTACTATCTAACAAATCATCACACACACATATTTCCCACATTTAAGGTTGCGTTAAATATTAATGTGAGTACATTGATTTTTAGATTATTTCTGAGAAAACCAAAGACCAATGGAGCCACTTTCCCTGTCTGTACATGTGTCTGTAAAATATTGTAATTTTTTTGTTAGTAGACTACTAGTTGTTGCCATTTTCATGTAAAACAATACACACTGCTCATAGAAAATGTTATTGAATCCATCTCACTCAAAACTTTATACATAAGTCATATTATATTGAGGCAAGTGGATGGATGCACAAAGAATTGAGTAGAGTCCAACCACAGCCAAGAGACTGTAGTGCAACATTAAATAGTCTCCACTTCTTTTGGTCTAAATTCTTTGTGTCCTTCTTGTGCGCAACAAAGAATAATCCTATTGTAATCCCTTAATGTAATGGTTTAGGCAGAATTTAATGAATTGGTTAGATGTATAATTTGGCACACAACTAACACTGGACTGGCAGATATTGCTTTGAGGGAACCTATCACCCATCCCGCTGAGAGCTGTAATGTTTTTCATAAGGCCATTCATCAACACATCTGCTTAACTCGAGGATGTGGCAACATTACATTTGAACTGAGGCAGTAACAGCTGATGCTTGATGGGTTTGCAAATTATTCTGTCATGCATCTACATCTACTACGAGGAACATATTTTTATGACACTGACAATAACCTGAAAGCAGAATAATGCTACTTGCACTATGTGTAATAGCAGCAAATAAAACCATGTATTCAATAATACAGTTATTTTGATAGTTGTTGACATGGGACAGGCTGATGTTAAGATTTGGCTTTAGTCTTAGATAGATCAGATTTAATTGATTTTTTTGTGTTGGAAATTAGGTCACTTCCATCAGTCAGCAGAAATTTAATCGGTTTTGGCAGACAGGGCATATAAATATATACTGCATTGGCAAAATGTATTAGTAGTATAACCTATTATTTTTTTATCTCGAATTTCCCTTTTTACAGTCACCCACGGTGGGTATGGGTTGGTATGGGATTTTAACTCTGCAAATTTGTAAAATACAAACACTTCCTGTTTGGATAATTACTATGTGATTGTGTGGGCCCTGACCTGAACATCCTGAAAGAACGAGAGAACCAATACGGTTTTTAAGGCAAGAGGCAAGTGTGTTTGGTACTGCACAGTTATACACAAGGGAACTCAAAGTGCTTAACAAAACCACACCCGGGCATTAAACCCTAAAATAATCACAGCAAATGAAAATGTCAGCTATACTGAACTGTTTTAATCCAAGGAATTTGAACTTGTCAGAGTAGACTCGCTCCTAGCAGGAGTCTAGCTAAAAGTAATTTCCAAAAATTTTCCATAGAATTCGAGCAAGAAATGGACAAAAACTCCTAACTTAGTGGAGGAGGCATGAGCGACCCTGTTGCGATTCAAGACGCTGTGGTTGTGAAGTCTTATAGTTGAGAAAACAAATTTTTTTGAATGATAATTGGGAAAAAATAAGATCTCTCAAATGGACAGACTTACACTTTGGAATCTGATCCTAGACCGTCTTGAAAATAATGTCAGCATAAAAGACTGATAGATAGATGATAGATATTTAATTTTGTAATTTTGTGTGCTCCCTGTGTGATCGACTAACAGTCCTCTCTGTACGCTGCAAGATTGAAATTTCCCCATATGTGGACGGATAACAGGATCTCTTAACTTATCATATCTTATGGTAAAATGGCTACTGTTTAACCATTTTTACTCACTTTGGTGTAGACGAGGTTAGAATGGCACAGCTGGGAATTGCTACCACATATGGCCCCGTTTATACGGAGACAATAAAACGCTATAGTTGGATGTCAGGTTGCAAATTCTCAGCGTTCTTACAAGGATGAAAAACGAATGTAGTATCAGCGCCCGGCCATTAGTGGCAGAGGAACTTTACAACTTTCAAATATACCACAAACAAGTTGAACAACAATGGAGAATAAAAGAAAGAGGAAACCCAACTAGACAGAGAAACAGCTTCTGGGCTCCAATAGCCAATGAGCATAAACAGGTTTTGAGAGGTAAATTTGGCCCCATTTGTCATGCCAGTGAATGTCACCAGTGAATAGAGATATTCATCCAAATATCTCTCCTGCCTTTTCCGTCTGCCATTTTGTCCTTTTGGGGAGATATTAAGTCACTACAAGTCCTCCCTCTCTACTCTTAAGAGATCCCACCATAGAGCCTCTTAGAACAAGATCTTTGGAATAGCTGTTTCCTTAAAGTGATAGTCCTGGAACTCAAATGAAATACAATTTTAAGAAATTTAATAAAGTGGTTTCTCACCCCCGCTCCTCGAGCTTACGTTACTCACATTCCTGTTCAAATCTTCCTCTAAATGGGGGGGGGGGGGGGGGGGGGGGGGGGGGGGGGGGGGGGGGGGGGGGGGGGGGGGGGGAAGGGTCGGGGGGGGTTAGCTGGAGGACTAAAGGGGGCGTGAACGAGACTGGGCCGTTTATATGCTCTGGGCGGGGGGCTGCTGACGTCAGGTCCAACTTCCAACGTCCCAGGTTCCAACTTCTGTGCCCAGTGTTTGGCCGCCAGATTCAAAATTCAAATGTAGTAATACAGGTCGCCAGCAGATGGCGCCTCCACAGACGGTTTGTTAGGCAGAAAGTCTAACTTTCAACTAATTTGCACCAAAGTGACAAGATTATACCAGGAATGTAACAACACTATTGGACACTCATTTATGCCGTTATCAGCAAAAAAAAGTGGATTTGAGGTGAGTTGTCCTTTAAATTGACCTCCTGGGCTAAAAGTTGATATAAAATAAGTCATTTTATGAATTCCTAATATGACAGTAAGTCCCCTTCCCTTCTCTTAGCGTTAGGTCAAAATCCACGATGCTGTCCACTTTCACCAAATCAATGTAATGCCAAGGCTCTCAATCATCACGAGTGTGCATGCTCAGTTTGTTTGTTTCACAGAGCCTTCTGGAATCAAGCCTCCACCAGGCTCTGGAATTTTTTGTATAATATATATTCTACATAAAAGTGAACCAAGAAATTCTGACCCATTCCAAGCAGTGAGTAACCCAAACATAACCTTAACTAAATCACATACTCAGATCACTCTGCTAATGTGTCCCCTAGAAATGTTCAACTAAAGTTTAATAGTCATGAAACTTTAACAGTCATTCGAAACCTCTGTGCATGTGTATTAAGAATGTTAATGTATTCTCCGCGATTCAACATTAAATGTATTGATTATTGTTTATTTGTGTTATTGAGCGTCGGCTACTCCAAAAGCTCCTCTCTCAGAGACAGAGTGGTTCGTTGACAGGCCCGAAAGCCTGTGTGACAAGTGTATGAACTACTGAAGTACACGATGTACAAACTTAGTATTGAAACACGTGAAGTTACAAGCACAGAGTGCTTGCCAAAGGGTAGCGGTCATGTATTTGTTTGAGAGGTTGTTAAGAAATAATGATCGGTAGAACGTTTTGAAATACATTCACATCAATGGAGCATTCGACTGCTTGCTGTGAGGAGCGGTATAACAAATTAAGATGAAATATTCTAATATTACAAATAAAAAATCTCTCCTCGCACGTCGTGGACCATTGACCTGGCGCGTGCACCAGAAAAGTAGGGCGTGGACCAATCAGAAAGGAAGGGGAAGGAGCTTGGGGCGTTTTTCTGACAATCTTCCAGACTATCAGTTTACTACGGTCGACTCTTCACTTGTAGGGAAATTGCAAGAGTACGTCTAGATTCTAAGAATATTCTTAGAATTTTCAGACCAGAGCAGAGCAGACCATGGGCTTCGGGGACCTCAGATCCGCCTCAGGACTCAAAGTCCTCAATGAGTTTCTGTCAGACAAGAGCTACATCGAGGGGTGAGTACCACGTGTTCTTTTACCTCACCATGCTTTAGTAGTACTCCATGTAGTAGCAGTAGTAATAATAGTAGTAGTAGTACTAGTAGTCCACACGCTCAAGTCCGGGTTTTTTCTGCAGCTAAAACGTGTTATAATGAATGTGTTAAACTGAAAGAGCCGCCGCCATTTTGTGTCTGTCAGACTCTGCTCACGAGTTAAAGCTCGGGTACGTAACTTGAGTCTCTTTGAATACTGCTTTGACCAGAGTTTTAAAGTATAATATTTGTGTTAGAGGGCTCTGAGAGTCCGTATCTGCCTCTTTGGGCTGAGTGCTTATTGGCTGAGTGAGGGTGGTTCTTTGAGTTACAAACCCCAGACCCTGGTCTTGCTGGACCCTGAGGACATGATGATTTTCTCACCATCTTTCGGCTGATGTTTTGTTGATGCCACTCTTTCAGATCTGATCCTCATTGAACTAAGACCAGGTCTGGGTCTCTCTGTCCCTCTCTCTGTCCTCACAGTTTTCCTCTGTCCTCAGGTTCGTCCCGTCTCAGTCTGATGTGTGTGTGTTTGAAGCTCTGTCTGCAGCGCCCCCTGCTGACCTCTGCCACGCCCTGCGCTGGTACAAACACATAAGCAGCTACAGCGACAAGACCAGGTGAGAAACTATTAAATCTATTCTCTATGCACCAGAGGACATGATGATCACTCACCATCTTTCGGCTGAAGTTCTAATGATGCCTCCTTCAGATCTGATCCTCATCTGTATCTTGGCCTGGTCTGGTCAGTCCTGGTTCTAACTGGTTCTGTTCTGGTCCAGTCTTCCTGGCGTGCAGAAGCCTCTTGGTCAGTATGGTCCAGTGGGAGTGGCCGACAGCACAAACACCACTCCTAAAGCTCCACCAGCCAATGAGGAAGAAGAAGACGACGATGATTTGGATCTGTTCGGGTCTGATGAAGAGGTAACCTGCAGGCACTGATCACACCGCTCTCTGTCTCTGTCTGTGTGTCTCACTCCAGTCTCTTGTTTCAGGACGAGGAGATGACGCGTCTCAAAGAAGAGCGGGTCGCAGCATACGCAGCAAAGAAATCCAAAAGTAAGAACTTAATCACTAATCTCATTATACACAATATTCAGCCCACAATACGATGTCTATCACAATATTCAGCCAACAATGGTATATAATTTCATACTTCCATAATTTCCTGGAAGATATATGTGGACTAAAAATTAAAACGACAAACAATCTCTGACTGGACAGGGTCTCTTACAAATGTTGGAATTAAAATTGAAGATTAAACAAAGCTGTTGCTTACAAACCTTTTTCAAACCATTGAAAATGACAATGAAGAGTTAAAAAAATTGCAGCATTGGCTATGGCTGAAAACTAGAGGTGCACCGGCTTAATTTGCGTGAACGGTGAAATGTGCTGATCAGATGACATGAGGATTAATGCGCACAAGTTACTTTCGTCAAAATTGCGTAAACAAGTAACTCATGCAGCTATCGGTTAGGGAGATTCTACAGCGGCAACAACCATACAGTAATGATGGTAAGAAACGACACGAATTATGCACGAAAGTTATGGAATTTATTTCCCTCTGCCACCAGCCCTTGTCTGTTCAAACGACTCATGTCCATTGCTTTTATATACCATCATGGAAATATTTGACTGTAGTCTGCCTGCCGCAGCTTTACCACTGACTTTACCACTGACTTTACCACTGACTTTACCACTGACTTTACCACTGACTTTACCACTGACTTTACCACTGACTTTACCACTGACTTTACCACTGACTTTACCACTGACTTTACCACTGACTTTACCACTGACTTTACCACTGAACACTGAAATCATCCCATGTCTGGACTTTGCACGTTATGTTCAGACATGTTGGATTAAGATGAGTGTAGTGTACTAACACTACACAGACAGGCCTAAAGTGACGCCTCGGAGCAGATAGCCGCTTGTTTATTGAAAGGAAAATAAAAGGCGCTTTGGCCAAAGCAGCGTAAGCTTTCCTCTACGCTCCATGCACAAGTGCAGACAGTGAGCGGCTGTTTAGCGCAGCGGGACTATTCAGAATGATAAACGTAATAAACTAACCCCTGCAAATGCTGAGATGCTAATATTACTAGATATTACTAATATAATAGAGAAAACATTGCCTTAACTATCTTTTTTAATCATTCTTAGAAATGCCAACCTATAGTGTTTCAATTTGAGCTGCAGCTAACAAAATAGTTGGGAACGATTATTCTATCGAATGGTAATCGCGACAAATAAAAAGTTTTTTGCCGAATTGAACAAAAATACAATATCCAATGAACCATTTAATGACAATGTTTTTAATTGTATACAGTTTATTGAATTTTATATAAAAGAAGACACGGCAGCGGCGATTCGAACCTGTGCACGGTTGATTTCGAAGTCCTTCCAGAGCGAACCGTGAGGCAATGTCTCTGAGCAGCTTATTTAAAACGTCTGTAGAACAGTGCTGGTGCTGGGAGCAGGAATGGTCCTAGGACAGGTGTGTGGTTTACTGGAAAGACGGGGAAAGCAGACGTTTAGGCCCTGTTTATACTGCGACCGCGATGGGCAGGTAGTTTCCTGGCTATTAACAGAAACGACCTGGCTCCTAATGCAAATTTCTCAGCGTTCACATGAGGTTGAAAAACGATGTAGTTTCTAGCGCCCGGCCAGTAGTGGGCAGAGAAACTTTACAACACACACACGACCCCCAGCCCGTGCCCAGCCCCCTCTCGGCAGTGTACTCACTTCCTGTGCCAGACCCTCAGAACGCACCAACATCATTCTGCATTTTAACAGCAGCTGTGAAAATGGGAACTGAACCTAGAGCTTCGCGTGGTCTCGTTTGGACGAACGAAGGAGTAGAATTATCCTCTGTGCCGCGCTGGAAGCCCACGAAGCTAGTTAGTGTGGCGGCGCCATTGTTGTTGATGTTTGTTCTCCGCTACTGCGCATGTCCAAATTTACGTGCGGGGAGCAGCGCGGAGGGGGGGTCAGAGCAGAGGGGGATTTCACACCTTTTCCCTCTCGCGGTGTGAAAGAGCTCCCCGCTGTGCAGCGTATCTGAGTTGTCCCACTCTGCAGGCTGGATCTGAACACTTACGTTTTCACCCCTGGAACAGTCCTCGTATGGAAGGTTGGTAGAAACGACATCCAACTATACGTTTTACTGCCACATTGTCTCGTTGTAAATCAGCCGAAATGTCAATACACACCACTTCCGATTCAATAAGTTCCTACATTAGGAATACTGCACCCTCACATGTCGTGATCTCTTGCAATAATTATAGTGTATTATAGAACCCACATGTGTCTGATATACATTTCTGAACTATACAATACTACACTTAAGCATTTATTACTTGGTTTTTCTATTAAAAGTTAGAGCTTATATTTATTTTAGTACATCGGTTATGTTCACATTCTTGTACGTGTGCCCTTTTTTACAGCTCTAAATTCTGATGGATCGTGGTCACAGTGTTCACACAGACCTATATGCGGAGTTCTAATATGTCTGGAGTAGTATACCTGTTGGCATAGATTGTAGTGATGTCAAATTAAGTAAAACATTCATAAAAGAATGTATAGGAACTGATAAACCTTTATGCTTCATCACTGCGTTAACAAATTAAAAGCTAACTATGCGACTGGCGGCAACATTGATAGTTAATAAGTGCTGGCAGTGGGAAATATCATAAATCAACTTTCACTTTCACAACGTGCGTTTACCCATACTGAAAGTGTTCTAATAAATTATCTGGATTTCTGCTGTCGTGATTGGTTCAGGACCAGGGGGGGCGGGTCGGGGCTCAAAAGTGGCAAAATGACGTGCGCTGACATGCTTGCAATACCACCCTGGGCCGATGGGGGCTGTGTCAATTGCTGAGGGAGTGAATTTTTTTTGGACTGTTTAGTTGCTTTGTGAATTTTTGAGCAACTTGTTTAATGAAAAGAGTGGGCAGGACCACTCACGAGCCATTTTGGATAGCTCCGTACAGGCAAATTTTTGTCCGGCGGACACGGCCCCAACGGCGGAGATGGGCTGTGACTATATTTGCAGTCTATGGTTCAGAATAGAGGATGCACGATATATAAGGCATCGGGCCGTACCACAGCCCATGTGTATTGCTGGGTTGCAGTGTTTCGCCTTTTGTTTTTTTTTCCCCCCCCATTTTTTAAGGAAAGGAAATAAATCTCCCATAAAGGAGCAGTATGCTAAAAAATTCTGCCAAAAAGTTACTGTAGTCAGTCAATATTTGTAGTCCTCTCCCTGACTCGGGTTGCCAGATACACACCAAATCCAGCAGCAAACGCAAGGAATTATTTTATCAGTTTGTCTGTCTCCATTCATGATAGCCGTGCTAATGTTGAAAATTTTTAAAAAATTATTTGGACATTTGAGATCAGAAAAACAAATATAAGCAATTGATTTCCAAAATAGTAAGTAAGTAGTAGTAAGTAAGCTTTATTTATATACCGCCTTTCACAGTCCAGAGTCACAAAGCGGTTTACAATTGTTAATTTTTGAGCACTTGTCCCTTCACTCCACACAGAGATGGGAGCGGGGTCGCCGAACAGGAGGCGCATGCCAGACCTATTGTACATATTTTTAGTGGTAGGGGAAACCGGAGTACCCGGAGGGAAACCTACGCAGACACGGGGAGAACATGCAAACTCCACTCAGAAAGGCCCTGGTCGGACCGGGATTCGAACCCAGGACCTTCTTGCTGAGAGGCGAGAGTGTATCCACTCAGCACCGGTTTTTTTTTTTTACCGCCCAAGTGGTGGTAAGAATGATTGTTGTGACCAGATTTCTTCAGGTATCCCGGGTTTGCTTCCAGCAACCTTCTAATTTGAACGGGGTAAGGGCCTATTGCTTTCACAATGGTGAAAACAAATGGTGGCGGTGCGTGACGGACGCGTCAGCGCCCGTCACTCACCAAAACGTGACGGTTGCGTGCGTAAACTCAAAAGCTTTAAAATGATGTATCACGTGCCATTGAAACCTATATTGTTTTTGCTCGAGACGTTTTAAAAAAATTTATTTCTTTCTTTTCTTTCTTTCTTTTTTCTTCTGCACTTTGAGCCTTAATTTGACCCCCTGAACATGCATGAAAAGTTGTTAAATTTTGCCCAAAAATCAGACCTGGCGAAAAATTTGATATTTTGGTGTTTATTTTTATGGGACTCAAACAATGCCAGAACAGCGCCACCTACAACAGCCAAAATAATACCCCTATGGGAGTTCTGAAGATCAAGTTTGTTGTAGGGTCATGAAATTCGGTACACATGTTCCTCAAGTCAAGACAAGAAAAAAATATTATTATGGCCCCGCCCTCTGACAAACAGGAAGCCCATAAATGTCACTGCAAAATGGAAAAATGAACAGCAAAAGTTTTCATACATGTCGGTTGGAAAGCGACTCCTCCTCGGCCGTTTCACCGATTCGCCTCAAAATCGCTCCACATCATCTCAACACATGTACCTTCAAAATGACCTCAGGGATTTTTGATCAGTGAAACATTGTTTGAGCAGCGGAGCGGCAAAATGTGACCTTTTTTGGCCGTTTTTGACAAGATCAAATTTGCTCCCGTTTGCACAAACAAAGTCTGATTTTCACAAAACTTTAATACATTGTTCAACTCTAGGGTCTAGGTCATTTGAAAGTGAATTGATTCAAATTGACACATTAGCGCCCCCTACAGACTATTTCAAAGTTTTAGATGGGCATTTTCAAATTTAGTTTTTTTTCAAAATGTTTGAAATTTTGCACATAAATCTGTTTTGCCCTCTTGATTCAAAAAGTCAATCGGGTCCAAGGCTTATTTTTTACCCTGTTGCCGTGGCGACGACAAACGCTCCCCATTCATTGCAAATGTACACCTCACACAAACATCAAACCAGCCTCGGCCGTTTCACCGATTCGCCTCAAAATCGCTCCACATCATCTCAACACATGTACCTTCAAAATGACTTCAGGGAATTTTGATTTGTGAAACGTTGTTTGAGCAGCGGAGCGGCAAAATGTGAGGTTTTTTTGGCTCTTTTTGACAACATTAATT